AATCTGGGGTTGTTTTTGTTGCCATGCATTTGCAGTACCCCCAAGTGAACTCCATGAAAAACCGGGGTGCCTCTGACCCATTGCATTAAAATTATAGTTTTCCACAGCATATCTTTAGTTGAGGCTTGTCACTCATGAGTACGGTGTCCTCTTCCACATATATCACAAGCTGCGTAAGGCTCATTTTGCATCATGGATGAGGTCAGCTTTCGTATTTCTTTAGCCAAAGTATCAAGATGTACTTGCACAGATGTATTAGCATCAAGTTGGTGAACACCCGTTGATCTTCTTCTTTTCACACTCTTAGAGGGCCACTGATTAGCATTTTCAGACAACTCATAAAGAATTATAACTATCTCCTCTGGAGTCTTCTTCATCAAAGGGCCTCCAACTGCATTACTCAATGTTCTATGCGAAGCCGGTGACAATCCTTCCCAAAAGTCCTGGAGTTGCATCTAGAGTTCAATTCCGCTATGTTGACACTTTCTAACTATCTCCTTAAACCTTCTTCCATGCTTAAAAAATAGTTTCAGTCTCTTTCTAGAAGAAGTTATTGATTTCTCTTCTAAACTTGCACGTCTTAGCTGAGGAGAAATATTTATGAAGGAATTTTCTGGTCATCTCCTCCCATGTTCTAATCGATCCGTTGGGCAAGTTTCGAAGCCACCGCTTCGCATCATCTTTAAGTGTAAAGGGGAATGCCCTTAAGTACACTGCATCTTGTGACACCAATTGTATTAAGAGTTGTTCATAATCTCCTCGAAGTCCATTAGATGCGTGTTTGGATCTTCGTTCATCTTCCCTCTGAAGACACAATAGTTTTGAATGGTTTGAAGCAATCCTTGCTTCAGCTCGAAATTGTTTGTTGCAATTGGAGGTGGTCTAACCACTTGATAATCCTTGATTGTAGACTTGTCTGGCACAATAACCCAATGCTCTACCAGGTCTGGGTACTGCATTCTCGAACTGGTCTTCAATCAAGGGTCGATTTTGGTTTAATCTTCGACCCCTATTATCTTTGATTGTTTCCTCAATAACTCTAGGGGTTGCCTCATCTGCTATCCCTGCAACTTCTTCTCTATGTTGTGCTGCCTCTCTTGTAGCTACATCTACCTCATCGTCACCGTTGTTATCCATGTATTCTTGGGTTGAAGGTTTCCCCAAGAACTTTTTGGTGAACTCTTTCTCTTTCCTCGGTTGCCGCAGGTGTTTTTCCAATTCCAGTTTGTAGGGTATTACTTCTTTTGAAGAAGATCGAGTTATACACCACGAACTTAAGTTGTTGCCTACACACGAAAGAAAAACCCGTGAAGAACAAAATAACAATAAATTCCTGAATTAGCACTATGAACTATTTCAAACAATATTGATTGCCAATCCCTGAAAACGACACCAAAATGTGACGAGCGCAAAATACACACTTAAATTGTACTCGCTAATCAAAGATAGTATGGTATAATATCGTATCCACATGGATTGGAATTAAATAGTATTCTAGTAGTTTCTAGCTTGATTGATACCAGGAGGATCGACAATTGAGATTTATATGACTAAGAATTGAAATTAACTAAGAATCTAAAGCTGTTGACTAATGACTATCGAGACAAGGAATAAGCAACTAAGGTTATCAGTGGGAGAAGATAGCTTTTGACAGAAAAGGTGCAAGATAATTATTCCGGATCTAACTCTAAATAATTCACTTCCAATGCTCAAGTGAGTCTCTCGAATTCACTCTATTATTAGTTCAAATGTTCAGCAGAAACTCCTCTCTCGATTAAGTCTTAACCTCACGAGATGAACTAATTTAAGCACTATGAAGATATGCAAGAATGCATAGTGGATCGGTCTTTAGGAAAACCTCTTTCGATTATTCTCCTAACTAGGTTTAATCGATGATTCAACTAGCCTCTTTCGATTACTTAGAAGAATCTAAGAATTCAACCAAGAATATATGCAAAGATATCATAAGTTATGCGTCTCTCAATTACATGAACTAGTGAATATAGATGCAACAATTAATTATTCCTAAACGATTCAAATGCATAAAAATAGAGTTATAATCCACAAACAATCATCAATACACCAAATCCGTCAAACCCCAAAGGGAACTACTCCATAGACATGGAGAAATTCATCTTGAAGATAATTAAAGTATAGGAAAACATAAATTCGATACAAACTCGGATCTTGAGTGAGGAAAGAATGATGAAATCCTTGTGCTTGTATTCTTCCAACTCCTCCTTACTCTCCTTAAGTCTCTAATATGTCAAAAGTTCCTCTAAATCGTGTTTTCAAGTGTATTTAAGTCGTCCTCCAAATAAACCCGGACGAAACTACCCTTTTTAGCCGAAATAGGAGATTACTCTAACATTTTTGTGCTACTGCGCCGCGCGCCACCCCATGCGGCGCGCTTGTGGGGAATTCCAGAACGTTTGCCAAAATCATTTTCGGCCACTTTTTGCTCTGTCGCGCCGCGCCTTGCGGCGCCCCATGCGGTGCGGCTGTGCAAATTTTACAGAGTATTAATTTTTTTTCACTTTGCAGGAAAATTGCACTAGAGCTATGAGGCCTCCGGCGCGGTAGTGCAATTTCTTAGATTAATTTTTGTTTTCTCACTTTTGATATCCAGACTTGGTCCTCGACCCCCGAACGCGATCCCGGTTTAATTCCTAGGGCTTTTACTTAGACTTCAAAGCTCCAACTTGTTCGATTTAGCTTCCGAATATCATTTTAACTCGAAATCAGTTCCTACAAGGTATAAAACACACAATAAGTGCAATACAATAACATTCAATCTCAAACACAAGTAAAATGCAGTAATTTGAGTGCAATACTACAGCTAAAACACAAGTATCTAGCCTGCCATCAGAAAAGGGTCACACTCCAAAAAGTGTTATGTAGGCCGCCTACACATGTATCAAAATCATTAATTTCTTGATGAATTTTCATAAAATTTAGCCAAAGCCCAAAAAAACATAAAACAAAAAACCGAAAATTGACTCTTCAACCACCAGAGGCCTTTTGGTAGCTTAAACCAGTTGATCATTCCCCATTATGCATGACTTTTGCACATGCTCAAATGAAAAAGTGGACCAACATATAACTATCATTTTATCAAATAGTGCACATGGGGTCTTTTCCTTAATTATCTCATTTGTTTGACTAGCGCCACCATTTACTTACCATTCTCTGAATATGAAGCAGAGGCTGAGGCCCTTCCTTTTTTCCTCTTTTCTCTTCCCCTTGGCCCCCTTCTGTTATCTGTCTTGGTCGTGGATCATAGCATTGTTATGGTTGTCCCTTAACTGAAACCTTGACAGCAAACATCAATCTAAAATCAGTTGAAACATGTCCATATGTTACGCAGTATATATTGGGCAAAAGTCGCGACTTCATTACTTAAATGGTCACTAAACTATCTGAAATTATCAAGTAAAGTCATTTTTCTTTCGTTTGTAATAGAAAAGTCACTTAACTATGTCTATAACACTCAAAATGTCACTCAACCAGCTTTCTCAAACTTTTAATTGTCAAATACCTANTTCCTTTCTCGTTTTCTCTTCTTACAGAGGCATCTGAAAGTAACCGTTTTTTTCTTTCTCGTTTTCTCTTCTCTTCACAGAGGCATCTGAAAGTACCCGGTATTTCCTTTTCTCGTTTTCTTCTTCTTCACAGAGGCATTTGAAAGTACAGTGAACAAAAAAAAACAGAAATAGCAAAGAAAGGTAGCTATGGATGCGGAAGAAGGAACACAACAAACCGAGCTAGTTCTTGCACACAAACTCTCCTTTTGACACCCAGATGTCAACGACTTGGACAAAGTTCGCCTCCGTGAAGAAGACTTGGACAAACTCTTCCATTTCCCTTATATCATTCTTCAAAAAGAAATCAGATCTAATTATTTTAAGGATTTCTTGTTTGATTCAAAGTGGGTGTTGTTAAATATTGCTTATAGTACCTTCTGGAAGTTCATACTGAAATTTGATAGCATTTGGAGCTGATTTGAGGTGATTGAGATCGAAATTTTCAGTTGAAAATCGAAGAAGAACACAACTACAATATACCGCTACGGTATACAATATGCTGTAGGAGTATATAGCTATATTGCAACATTATACTATTATACTTTATAAAACAGTATACCGCTACAGTATACTAATATACTATAGGAGTATATAGTTATACTGCAACAGTATACTATTATAGTATACAATATATTGTTATGGTATACTGTAATAATATGCAAGATACTGTAACAATATGCTGTAATAGTATACAATATACTATAATAGTATACTTATTTACCCGTAAATTCACTTGTCTTTTCCCTTTTAATTTGTTTTAAGCTTTTACCCAAGCGTGAGGGGCAAACTGAAAATGCAAAAAAATAAAAATAAATTATAGTATGCTATATGATGTAATGGTATACTCTTACAATTAGGTCCTTTTAGAATTTTTAATTTTTTTTGACAACTGATATTATTTAAGTTTAATAATTGAATTAAATTTTTTTTAACTCTTTGCCTACAATTATATACCCTGTTGGTATAACTATATATTATACCGGTATCTTATGTTAGTTAATATTTTTTTGTTGTATTAACTACATTTAATTGGTACACAATTTGTTTTTTCTTTAGTAATAATATAAAAAAAGAATAATAAAAAATAGTGAAAACAGGAAATGAAATTAGATTATGAAGAGAAAAAGAATATAAAAAAACAGATGTTAAATAAAATTAGAAAAGGAAAAAAGAAAAAAAATAAGAAGAAAACGAGAAAAAATAAGGAGAAAAGAAAAAAAAGAAAAAAGAAAAGAAAAGAAGCATAGAAATAAAAAAGAATTGGAGAATAAAGAAAAAATTCCCCACAAAACCTACTATGGGTAGGAAATGTAATTAGTTTATGGGTATGAAAACAAATGGGTAGACAAGGATAAATAGTTTTGTTTTTGTAGATAACTGTGTCAAAACCCCGAATAAAAGCATAATTGGGTACAGGTCCAGGATGTTCATCATTAGGATTTGGGGCCATGCTTGAGCTTGGGCCTTTTGGTGTAAACCCTGATGGAAAAACCCTTTATTCCAGAACATTCGCATGGAACAAAGGTATATTCCATTTACTAAACTCGTCTTGATCTACTTATAATTAATTTCTCAAAACTAAGACAATTTTTTTTTAATACTCCCTCCGGTCCAAAATAATTGATTTTTTGGATGTTTTCACACAGATTAAGAAATTCACCTTTTAGCATTAAATAACAATGGAATTGACCATATTAACCTTTACTATCTCACATAAACACTACTAACACATATTCCAACACTATTTACTCCAAGGACAATGTAGGAAAAAAATAATTAATTCATTCTTGAAATCTGGAAAAATCACATATTTTGGACCACAAAAAAAAGGCCTAAAAATCACTTATTTTGGACCGGAAGGAGTAACATAATCCATCTCTTTCAATTTATTTACATGTGAAACTAGATATAGTTAATGTTTTTTTCCTTTTATTTATTTACATATGAAATGATGGGTATACAGTTGCGAATGTGATGTTTGTGGAGTCGCCGGCAGGGGTTGGCTTCTCCTATTCCAACACTACCTCCGACTATGCAAAGTCAGGCGATAAGAGGACTGGTACACACCATACTTAATCTCGTTAATACAGTAGTAATTATTGATTATTTCTAAAATTAGTTTAACAGTCACAATGATGGAATTTCACTCTTAATTATCCCATTTAATATACTTTTCTTCAAGTTCAACTTTACATTTCTCTTTTCTTCAACTTCAATTATATATTGTCAAAGCAGCTGGTACATTATTAGCATTTGGTAGTCATACTACTGGAGAAAATCTTTTGAGTCACTTAGGCCCGTTTGGCCATAAAAAAAGATTCTTTTTTTTTCGAAATCAATGTTTGGCTATGAAAATTTCAGGCCCCGTTTGACCATGAGTTTTGCCAAAATAAATTTGGAATTTATTTTCAGAACTCATGTTTGGCCATAAATTTTGCCCATATTTTGGCCATAAATTTTGCCCAAATCCCATTTTGGGCCAAAATCCCAAAACTTGGGAATTATATACATGTTTTTCCAAAATAAAGTTGGAAAATATGTTTTAAAAACGTATGTCCAAACACATTTTCATCTTCAAACCAAACTTCACCCAAATCAGATTTTTCAAAATAAATTTGGGATCTATGCCAAACGCTAGTTCAAAATTCACTTGTAGTTAAATTTTGAAAATATTTCGGAATTCGAAAAACTACAAAAAGTTATTTTTCAAAAATTTTCACTTAAAAGCACTCACAAAAATTCAAAAAACAACTCAAATTATATTCATATTTTTTTAGTTATCATTAAACGATCACTTCAGTTATTTATTTATTTATTTATTTATTATTGGGTGCCAGCTGAAGATGCATATAGGTTTCTAGTGAATTGGTTCAAGAGGTTTCCACATTACCAAGGCAGGGATTTCTACATCATGGGAGAAAGCTATGCAGGTATCTAGCAGAGTATCAATTAAATAACAAATGAAAAGATACAAAAAAAAAAAAAAAATCTTTAGATATTCTTGAATTATCCTTCTAGTAGTGAGAGCCCTAATTATTGGGTTCTGTCCAATAGAATATGTAAGAATTAAGGACCACTGTATCAGAGACATCTTGTGCATATTTTGACCATTCACAGAAATGTTCTCCAGTACAGTCTCAGCTCAAAGCCGAAATGAGCATTCTGATTGAAAATTTTGGCTATATTTGTAATACAATCTTATATAAGTATAGTATATATCTAAGTCATGGTCAACATGACAGCTAATATTGCTGTGACTGCTCATCACAGGATTCTACGTACCAGAGCTAGCAGACATCATTGTCAAGAGGAACATGTTGCCCACCACAAACTTCAACATCCAATTCAAAGGAATCATGGTATTATATCATTTAATTTGTTGACCTTTTGCTTGATCTCTCCGTTATTAATGTTAGAACATGCGCAGCTGAAGCAAGCATACAATTCAGACATCGAATATATATAAACTAGACAATGATACAGTTACGAGATTATAAACTACTAACCTCTTGAAATCGCTGTAAAGGTCCTCCGCGGAGCAAAAATCCAGGGCTACAGTCTTCTGCTATGGTCCTAGTAAGACCTTGGACGAAATTGCTTTTGAGTGGGCAAGAACAATACAGCTCTAAAAGTGATATATTGGGTGAAAAATGTCTTCCTTATGTAGACTCGCTTTTCAGCCAAAGAGAGCTACAAAAACGTGTAGGATTCTGCAACTCTACAGGATGAGTTTTCTCCCAAGTCACTTTTTACCCAAGTTAGACCAGGTTTTTACTAGGTATAGCAGGGATCACAGAAATAATAAGAGGCTAATAATTATAGTATTAATTCGAATTTTTGCATGAATTAATTCCTACTATAATTAATTGTAGTTTAATCCACTAAAAAACTGCAATTGAACTCCTCAATATGAATTTCGAAAATTCACTAACACTTATTTTAACTCCCCATGTTAAGATCCCAAATATCAGTTAATTAAATTAAATCACTGACAATTTAATTTAATCAACTAATTAAATCCTTTATAATTCTGCTTAAACTATTTCATGTGACGGATACAAAATTCACTGGCCAGGTTTTCACATGAAAACTTATAAGCTTACATAAAGGGGTATCATCAAAGTCAAAAATATGTCATGGATTCTATCAACTAATTATTATTTCACAAATGTTATTCGTTATTGTCCAATCTATATAGGCATACACTAACTCGGAATAGAGTTGTACTTTTTGATAAATCAAAACAATAATCAAATCACATTGATCATAATAATTATATCAAGATTAGGAGTATAAGCTCATTCAATGAATTAGAGAAAATGTTTTATATATATTCAGTACAAAAATATCTTTTCTCTACTTGGTCCGGTCAATATACACTAAGTATACTAGCACAAGAAGTCGGAGTAAAACCACTCCCATAATCAAGACAAATTATACTATAATCTTGTGCTACAATAATCAAGATATTTTGTCCAATAATATTTTCTATTGTAAATATAGTTTATTAATTATGAGAACCGACAATTTAATCTTCTGTGCATGAGCTAAGACTACATTCACTAAATTGTCTACTACATAACTAAAGGACACACATGTAATAAATGATCTATTTAAAACAGTACTTTATTAAATTGAATAAAATTAAATAATAATTGTTCCATAAAGAATAAAACAAAATACTATGATTAAACCGCATGGTTAATATAATATATTCCAACAATTTAATCAATCTTGTATACCTAGTGAGTAAGACCCGATTGGTTCACAAGATTCTATAGACATGATGAATAATGAAACACCATCTCGAACTACTATGCCACCGAGAATGAATGCCCAATCTTCTTTTAACACTTGGTCTGTTATTTGTTCATGTAAAAATAAGGAGAAGACAAGTAGAGCAAACACTAATAAAGGGCTAGCTAGTTTTTGTTTTTTTGCGTAAAATCATCGTAAAAATTGGTAAACTGTGACAAAGTACATTTTCTAACACGCTAGTTCCTATGTGAGTCTGATTCTTTTAATTTGTTTTTATTTATAGAAATTTGGATTTTTTTTTTTTTGATAAAGCGAGATTAATTGAGCACAAGATATGCTATAATTATACCATGCATATTGAGTTGTGTAACCACTTCAACTAAAACTGTAAGCAATATAGGAGACAACACAACTACATTTATTTAATTATATCTTCAAAAAGTTTTCCTACGAGATATAACAAGTGAAACTACTGTATGTATGGCATATATTATTTCTTTGAGAATCAAGAAAAATTAATTGGAGAAATTACATATTGCAGATAGGGAATGGTATAATAAATGATGAAACAGACGAGAAAGGGACATTGGATTATTTATGGAGCCATGCACTGATCTCAGACGAGACTCATCGAGGTCTTGTACAACACTGCAAAACGGAGACCGAAACATGCCAACATTTTCAGAACATAGCAGAGTCTGAGTTCGGAAACGTCGACCCTTACAATATCTATGGCCCCCAGTGTTCCATTAATTCAAAGAGCACATCTTCTTCTCCGAAACTGAAGAATGGATATGATCCTTGCCAACAAAAATACGTTCAGAATTATCTCAATCTTCCTCATGTGCAGAAGGCATTGCATGCTAACCTCACCAACCTTCCTTACCTTTGGAACCCTTGCAGGTAATCCAACTATGTATATCATATCGATTTAACTTATATATACCGATAGTATAAAGAATTGTTAGACTGTCATTGAATATATCTGTATTGATTTATATATACAATGTTAGTGTAAAATGTGTTGTAACAAATAATCTACCTTATTTTTCTAATTATAAATTAAATTACTTTTTATGGATAATAACTTGTACTTATCTTTTAGGTCGCCTAATAGAAAACTCTTTTACATCATCAAATGTGTATTTTAACCTGTTGCGACAGTGACATGTCTTATTTTTAAGATTACAAATCTCACTCTTCGTGGTAGTTAATTACTTAACTTGTGGTCATCTTTTAGATTAGTTGATAGTATAAGTGGCTCTTTTAATGCGTAGAAGGTAACTGAACTCAGATAAATAAAAAAATAGCGTATATGATATGATATGATGAATCTTTTTCAATTTGGTATGGTAGCAATCTGGATTGGAAGGATACTCCAGCAACTATGTTTCCGATATACAGGAGACTTATTGCATCTGGTCTACGTATACTTCTTTACAGGTAACATTATTATGGGCTTATCTTACACTTTGGTTTATGCTCATGATACATATATTTTTATTTGTTCGAATAAAGAACAAGTGGATTTGTATTGTTTGGAAACAGTGGAGATGTTGATGCAGTAGTTTCAGTTACTTCAACTCGCTATAGCCTTAGTGCTATGAACCTTAAGGTGATCAAACCTTGGCGTCCTTGGCTTGATGACACACAAGAAGTACGTTCTTCGAATATTTTTTTAATGATAATTTTATATATTCGTGGTGAGAAATAAATCTTATTATTTCGTTCTTTGTTTCTTTTAATTTAAAGGTAGCTTGTATAATTTCTGCAGGTAGCTGGATATATGGTGGTTTATGATGGATTAGCTTTCGCTACAGTTAGGGGAGCAGGGCATCAAGTTCCACAATTTCAACCACGTCGAGCTTTTGCTCTCTTGAATATGTTCTTTGCCAATCATTTTTAAGAATTTTAGCATTTGGGATGTCCCGTTGGAAGTTCATTTCCCACTCATCCGAATAATTGGACATATTTTACTAATAAAATTCTTATTCTCATTAAGAAATATGTCTCTCTTCTTTTCCGCAACTCTGAGAGAAAATAAAACACAAATTCTAAAAGTCTATAATATCTCTTGATTATACTCACAACAACATACCCAGTATTATTCCACACCATAGAGTCTAGGGAGGATAGTGTGTACACAGACCTTAACCCTACTTGAAAAGCCTTAACAACAAATTTTCTTCTTAATTAAGTACTAGTATTAAACATGTTTCTCTGTCTTCTTTTGCCGAACAATGGAAGAGGCAATTCTAGCCTTACTTTTTAGGTGCAATAGCCGGCCAATATTATTGCTTTTGTTGTTCAACTCTTTGACTTACGATTTACGAACATGAATTCCAATTGTACGTGGAGACATATGTTTTCCCGCATTAATGTTGTATAATACTAATAAGTTTTTAGTTTCTCTTATAGTTCATTTAGTGTATAAGACATAGGGAAGTCTTACGTTTGAACGTCATAACCTTTTAAAAGACACATGCATAAAGTCAATCAGACTAAACAGTTGGAGTAATACTGTTTCTCACAAAGGTTAAATGGTGTGTTGTTAAGTGTGTAAACTAGGATAAATGAAACCAAACAAAGTACTCTCTGACAAATCTTCATTTTATTTTATACAACCACCACTAATAACAAATTTTATTAAAGAGAAAAGTAAAATACGAAGAGCATAGGACTAGATCAAATCCCCCCTATGGATCAAGCTTGAGAGAGTAAACATCAATTCTCTATTATTTTGAAATACTAGATCCGAGCTACTTAAATACATGAAAAGAATATCTAAGGATCTAATATAAATAGTTAAATACTATTGCATTTTTTGATTCGTTTTTTCTTCTGGGACCAGTTTGATATTTCTTTTTATTTAAGGAGGAACCACTTAAATCTTTGCACACCCTTTTTCTTTTTCTGATTTCTCTGCCCTCAGAATCTTCTCGGCAAATAACCTAATTCATCATCACTGAATCATCTTCTACTGAGAAAGACTCAAAAATCTATTTTATTAAATAAATCTTCACTTTATCTCATTTCTCTATCAGCCGTCCTGTCTGATCGAACAACGACGTAAAAATATGGAAGCCAACAAACTCCTTAATATATATCCTTCGTTTTATCCCCTTTGAAACAACTTAAGAAACAATTCATAGCTGTTATTGTTAAGTGTCGGATGACGTTTTAAACAATGAGCACAAAGTACAAATATATCACTACAACAGCGCCAATCTCATATCAAGTACCCAAAAAAATAAAGATATGAAGACATTCTCAACGTTTTACATACTCTTTATATATAATGAAGAAGATTAAACGTTGAGTAATCATTCACGATTTCTTATTTCTTGCATGGGAAGGAAGAAAATGAAAGTTAGCTCTGTTTCAAGTCTTTCTCTAATTATTTTGTGCTACTTAAGTGCCCAACAATGTAATGCAGGAGAAGCTGATGTTCTGAGCAAATTTCTTAAGGCTCGACGAGCAAATCGCCTGCACACAACAAGAATTACCAATAGCCTAGCGGCTGATGAGAAACAGATATCAGTGTCAGGATTCATAGGGCCACAGGTAGGATCAAAGGAAGATGACAAGATCTCAGCATTGCCAGGGCAACCAAGCGGGGTTAATTTCGATCAGTATTCAGGATATGACTGTTGATGCTGATGCTGGTAGAGCCTTGTTCTATTACTTCACTGAATCAACTCAAGATCCTTCTACCAAGCCCCTTGTTATATGGCTAAATGGAGGTAAGTACACACACACCATTCCCCCGTTACCCCAATTGCCAAGAGGAAGACTGTTTTTCTAACACTAATTTCATGCATATTATCATTTTCTTCCCTTTACTGGGTCACTCATTCTGGTGCTGCTTTAAGAAATATATTAACGCACTAACCATGCTTCCTTTGTTGTTTTGTATGTACTTGATGTACAGGACCTGGTTGTTCGTCGCTGGGTGCTGGAGCAATGATGGAACCTGGACCATTCCGCGTCAATAAAGATGGAAAAACCTTGTGGCTCAACCCATTTGCTTGGAATAACGGTACTTAATTACCACTCTTCTGCAAAATCTGTCATCACAATTGATAGTAATTATCAGAAACACATAAATAACAATGACAATACTTTTGTTACTTAAATGCAGTGGCAAACATCCTCTTTTTAGAATCTCCTGCCGGTGTTGGATTCTCTTACTCTAACACATCATCAGATTATATAACTGGAGACGAAAAGACTAGACAAGACAGTTTTGCCTTTCTCATCAATTGGATGGAAAGATTCCCAGAATATAAACACCGAGCTTTCTACATCACTGGAGAGAGTTATGCTGGGCACTATGTGCCTCAACTTGCTCAGCTGGTCTTATTCCACAAGAAAACAGAACCCAACCTTGTCGTTAACTTGCAAGGAGTAGCTGTAAGTTAAGCTTCAAATGATCACCAAATTCTTTTTCTCCTGATTAAGTCATTAAATTATATCGTGCCTACATATTATTTACTTGCACATCACACGGTTTTCAGACTGGAAATGGCATTATCGATGATGAAACAGCGACTAGTGGTTCCTATGGCTTTTACTGGACACACGCACTAATATCAGATGAAATCCATGAAGGAATTGTCTCGAATTGCAACTTCTCAGCAGAAACCTCTACCACAGAAGCTTGTAATGAGTACACAAGCCAAGCAGATTCATCTCAAGGCAATATATACACTTGTAACATATATTCCCAACTGTGCAACTCCTCTACCTATTTTTCCCTTCCGCTAAACTGCTCATTCATTCTTGACAAAAAGAAAATATTTGCACCCATTACTTATACCAATTTTAATAAGTAGTACTATAAATTTAAGTATCCCAAAATTAAGCTGAGAATCATGGTGAGACTATAAATTTAAGTGTCCCAAATTAAGCTGAGAATCATGGTGAGAAAGAAAGGCTAAAAAGACCATGCGCAACAGCACATTCTGCACCTCAATGATATAAGCAGTCCTCTTCCCAGTAGATTGTACATTCCTCTATTAAATTTACACCATAACTATTTCTTTTTGTTTATAACAGATAGATGAATTTGATCCATGCTCAGCTGATTACGTAGACAATTACCTAAACACTATCGAAGTACAAAAGGCGCTTAATGTCAGAGATATACCCCATTCCTGGGATTCTTGCAAGTAATAGATACTTTGATTTTTCAAAAAAAATTCCTTCTTCAAATCAAGAAGGCTGATTTTCTTCGTTTTGGTTTAATTTCACTTGCTTCAATTCTCACTTGTGCAGTGGTTATATACTCGGCACTTGGCAGGACTCCCCGCATACTATGCTACCAATCTTTCAAGAGCTCATGCAAAATGGCATTAGGGTTTGGATTTATAGGCAAGTAAATCAAGCAATGAAGCAGTCACCACAAAAGCAATTCTGAAATTTTAGCTATTTCGAAACAAAACATTTTACTCGAGCCTTTTTTTTTGGTTACAATTTCAGTGGAGATGTAGACCATATTTTGCCTGTGACGACAAGTAGATATGCTATAGACAAAATCAAAACACCAGTCAAAACACCATGGTATCTGTTAGACCTCCGCCAATTGAGCTCGACTTGACAACAAGAGTGTTGTCATGAGGCAACAAGAGTGTTGCAAAGCTGGTGCGCTAGTGGCACCAAAGTCAAAAAGGGAAAACAGGCAAGTGATGGCCAAGGCTTTGAACGGATGCGAGGCAGCTTGGCAAGGGCTTGACAATGAGTTGCGGGATAAGGGTGACACTTGGTTATGGCAAAGGCATCAAGGCATGAGGCAGTGATGCCAAGGCAAGGCAAAAACGGATAGGAAAAGGCAAGCAAATGTGCAACGAGATGGCAGTGCGCGGGCAGATTTGTCATGGCATTGAGTTGCGGCAAACGGGCCAAGTTCGTGGGCGATGGCAAGGCAAATTGAGGCACAATGCAGCTGGAATACAATGGCATTAGAGCTGGTCCAAGCCAAGGCACGAAATTGGGCAGCAACATTGGAATTGACCAAGTCAATGGAGGTTACCGGCACATGCTGTGCACATGGGCAGCAGTTGTGTTTGTCTAAAATGCTGGCAGGAGTTAGCTACGTTTTTGGAGGCCATGATCTCACTATCTTTAGCATGATTTACATGATCCTAGTAGTTGGGGGTGTCAACTACACTAAAGTAAAGTAGTGGGCTGAGTGGGCAAGTGTTAAGGCCTAAAATGGGGCAACTATTGTGTAAATGGGGCTGATAACGTGAAGAGTGCATGTTTTCTGATTTAGGAAGAGTCCTAAGTCTTGTTTTCAAGAGTGGAAACACTAAGACTAAGAGTAGTCTTGTGAGGGTCAAGAGTGATCTTCATTTTTGTACACGGATGTACTTCGGAGTTTGAGTTTTCTTTGTATTCTCGAGTTAAATACAAAGTTGGGAAAGAGTTCCTGTAATCTTGTGTCTTTTGTTCATGTTTAAATTCTGTCCCTTCACTTATATTTTCGTTGCCTAAGTTCATTCTAAGCTTACTACGTTGAATGCTGCCTAAATTAATCGAAGTCCAAAGTTGCTGAAATTTTGGCTGAGTGTTGGAGCAGGCTGAAGTCAAGTCGGTGCTTGGCTGCCGCGCGGGCTGTTTTTGTTAGACATAAAACGCGCCCGTGACAGTATCCTTGGTTCTTCCAGGGCGAGGTAACGAAGTAGTCATTATTCTTTCCCTCTACAATCTCTTTCCAAAATCTCATGTATGCATATGAATTAATTATTTCATATAATACTTTTTCTTTTAAGGTTGGTGGTTATGCAGTAGAATACCAGAACTTGACATTCGTGACCGTAAGAGGAGCAGGACATTTTGTTCCAAGCTATCAACCTGGTCGTGCATTGACCATGTTCTCATCCTTCATCAATGGCACACTCCCTCCTCATCTCCACTAAATAGAAAACAAACGAATATTGTTATATTCCCTTAACAAAGAGACGTATAAATTATGGCCTCTCTGACTATATGTGTTTCTGATTAGTAAGAAAAGTCTCACTTCACCAGATGCATTCCAAATGTCTAGTTGCATAAGAGCTTTATCAGAAAAGGTCAAATTTCCAGCCGGAGCTCCCCTTTCCTTTCCGAGCTTCTTCCTATTCTGCCCTGTAGTCACTTGTACTCCGGGAAAAAAAAGAGAACACAATGAATGCATGAGTTTCTCAATTTTTCCTTGTCGATTGGATTCAAGATTTGCAGCATAAGAATAACTAATATGGAGAGATAAAGAAATTGAATACGAATTCACAGTAGCAACAGAAAAAATCAAAAACAGACAACAGGAAAAGATGCAAACAATGTCATACTCAATATGGACTATATGATTAAGTTGAAAGGCTGTCTCGGCAAAATAAAAAGTCTATAAGTTGCAAAAACATCATAAGTACCTTTTGTTTTGGTGGTACTTAACTAGTTATATCTATTTTATGCATGTTAGTTTTGGATCAAATTTTGTGAATTTGACATGAATGAAAATATTACAAATGATTCAATGACTTGAGGTCGGATTTATTTTTCGACAAGAATAATAAAATGGGTATAGATTGCAAAAAAGGGGTTGGCATCTTGAAATCAGAGTGCAGGGTCAATTTGTACTCCTGGACTCAAATGCTGACGTTGGCAACTCACGATCTCTTGTCGCATAGTTGCTTTTTCTTCCTCTAGCTTTTGATGCATCTGCTCTTCTAGTTTTCGCATGAGATCATTAGAACACTAAAAGAGGGTTCAAATTGTATTCCGCTCAAAACAGTTTTTCCATAAACCCCATCCAACAATCTCAGGCATCCTGGATGTTCAGGTCCCATGACAGATGCAAATGTATCTACAGATTCAATGTCATCTCCACTTTGTTGTGATTCAATTATTCTCCATTTCATTGTGGAAAGAAACTTCAAAATAGAATACAAACAAAAACAGAACGACACCCTAGCAACAAAAGAAAGCTTCTAAGTGGGCATTGCAAAAAAAGGATTAGAGTCATAACCAGGCTTCTATTCGCTCTACATAAACTACACAAAATAGTCTTAGCAACATCAACAAAGTGTCAATGATTAGAGTCATAACCAGCCTTATATGGAGCAAAACCATAGTATCATATATGCTGTCAGAAAATAGTACTATTCCATTTCCTTAGACGAGAAATTTCTTCTCTTCATAAGCTGAACTTTCGGGAATAGGAAAATGCGAGAAATTTATATCCCAGACAAAAGGACAACATAAGTTGGTTAGATAAAGGAGAGGGGAACACCAAGTTGTTTCGCAGATTTATAAAGGTGAAGAGGAATAATTAGGCATTTTAAAGATTCAGAATAAACAGGGTGACCTGATAGAAGACAATCAGATTGCAACAGCAGCAGAACAAGTTTTTAGAGGATCTGTTCAATGGAGTATTAACTCAACTACCATTAGTTGTCACCTAACAGGGCCAAAATCTGAGATAAGTTACTCAGTGAGAGATCTCAGACCTTGCAGTTTACAGCTTGCCTTATCAATTTCCAAAAGCAAGAAAATGCTTTTGCGGGCTCAAGTTAAGTTAGAATCAGTCCCCAATTAAGCAGCAGACTTTACATCTTCCCATATGCCTTCACTTTCTTAGAACATGAATGTTTGGCCCAGGAGAACTCTGACTACTGCTCGGATAAAGGAAAAAAGAACTGAAGGTTTAAATGACTCGCCAAATCATTACGGACTATAGCAAAACTTGTTATGTCAGTAGTGTGTGGATGCTTCCATTTTCTTCGATTCTCAGTATAAAATTTCTCTCTCCACCCCCCCTCCCCCCCCCCCCCAAAACCCAAACACATATCCGTAACAAAGAATAAGAAGAGGCAAGAAGTAGAAACCCTGAATAGAGATCACATAGTAGAAGAAATACAACAGAATATGACCATCACATCCGGAAAGTTGTTCCCTCTGCTTTTACCCCTTCATATGAAATGATCTTCAGCTCAAGTAGTGATCCAGAAATTCGAAACCTGAGGGATACAAGAAAATCCTTGAGCTAGGTTGTCAAGAATTGAGAACTTGTGAAATTTTGTTGAGACCCCTGGAAGCCATGTCCAAGGCAGGTAATTGAATGAATGCGGGAACAGCTAGAGGAAATGCTCAAGGATTCAACTTTATTGCGCTATGAAAGCTATCTTATGTAAAAAACAATATTGGTCTTTTCATTGGTATTGGTAATGGTAAATTGGTAATGGTAAAAGTATTAATCAAAGATGGAGAAGATTTTGACAGTAAGAAAGAGAAATAAGCACAAATAGAGAGAACCAAATTCCATCTTTACCAGCATTGCAAGGACTAAGTTCAGAATCTTATAATGTAAACAAAGCAGCCACTACAAACATTAAGTAGTGAATTTGATGATGAGTTCATCCTGGTAATGTAGAAATTTGCATTAAAAAGTAACACTAGATATGTAGTTGGAGGAAACTACATTCTTCATTTTGAATTATTGCATTAGCATACTGGCTGACCTCCCCCTGAAGAAACATAATTTCACAAACTTTATGAAACCGTAACTTAAGAAAAATTCACAAACCCTAACCCTTGCCTCGGCAAAAATGGATCAAAATCAAACACAACTTTCTCAATCATAAAGAAAAAAACACACAATTTGTTTCCGCTGGCTTCATCATCATGTACATATGAAGAAAATGGAAAATAAAGGGAAAAGGGCAATACGGCAGAAAATGAGACCTTAAACCAGGTGATTGAAGAAGCTGAGGTTTGAAATATGGTGCAAAGTAGGGAGATGATTGAAACTAATTTTATGTGGAGTTCTTGAAAATTCACAACTTTACGAAATCTTCCAACTATTTGACACTGTGGCTCTTATAAACATGGCCAAGTGTTGGTGCATTTGGTCATTATATTGATCTTTGGAATCTTCAAGACCTCCAACAAACACCACTTCCATAAAAAATTTCAGACGATGGGCTCTACTGTTGATGACCATATGACTGACCAAGAGGAAGATCTACTCAACAGGAGCACAAACAATCAGTCAAGCGAAAATAAAGTAAGCAGACAAAGTTTTAATAGATAACTGTTTTATATCGGTAGACAGCATTCAACATGACTTCGCCCACTTTAATCTAGAAGACGAACATGAAAACCCAACACAACACCCTTATTTTATTTCAATATCCTCAACCGAAAAAACCAGACTATACGCACCTTGGCAACAAGCAGTCATAACTAAACTAGTTGGTAAAAGAATAGGGTTTATATTTCTTAGAGACAAACTCAAAGCACTATGGAACCTAAATGAGGATCTAAATTTGATAGATCTTGGTGACGACTACTACCTAATCAAATTCACCAACACTGAAAATTATGTTAAAGTCATGCATCAAGGTCCCTGGTTCATAGGATCACAATTCCTCTCAGTTAGGAAATGGGAACCTAAATTCAACCCCACACAAGATCCAATGCCATTCTCCACAATCTGGATCCGGCTGCCAAAACTACCAACCGAATATTATCATTCTACAATTTTACGTAAAATTGGTAGTCAAATTGGATCAATCCTAAAAATAGATAGTTGCACAAGGAACACAAGCAGGGGAAGATATGCAAGACTATGCATATTGATTCAATTGGGAAAATCGGTACCCAAGGATATACTCATTGGCAAATATCTCCAAAAAATACATTACGAGAGAAGAACACCATTATGCCAGAGTTGTGGATGCTTGGGACATACACTCTACTACTGCACAAAATCCGGCAACAAGGACCCAGGCACGTCTACTGCCTCTACTGAAAATAAAAAAGAAAGAAAGGAAGAAAAAACAGAAAATGGAAAAAAAAAGAGAAGAAAAAATAGAAAATTCAAAAAAAGAAAAATACCAATCAAAAAATGAAATAGAAAAAATAGAAAAGGGGAAAACCACCGACTCTCATGAAGACCGTTGGACAACCGTAGTCTTTCCAAAATATAACAGAAAACAAAATACCACCTCACCCTTTAAACCCAACACTACCTCACCACATACCCACAATAGCTTTTCAAATTTTGGCAAATACTTGTGATGCTGAGACAATTTTAACAAATAAGCCAAAATTAGTAAACATGGCTACTACACTACCCACGTTCAAAGACACCCTCAACCCCACCCCTCCTGAAAATGTGAAAATACCAAAACACATAACAACTCTATCAACATTGGTACTACTCAATCACCCCAACATGATACTAAATCTCCACAATCCAAAAGTACTACCCTATCACCTAATAAAACTACCAACTCCCCTACACCTATAATTCCTTCTCCAAGCAAAACCTTCCAACCGTGTATGTCAACATCAACCAAAGCCCCAAACCGTACACATAAACCAATCTTCCCACGTCAACCAAACATCCCTTCAGACCTAAACCAAACATTTACAACTTCATCAATTACTCCAACTATGCTAGTTGCTACAGGCAACACGGACGTTCCCCCTAAGGGAACCGTAAAAGAACTCATTAGCGCATTAAAGGATAACGCAAAAGATATACCATTATCAAATCTTGATGAATCCAAAAACCGTATTCCTACCCCTATAATATCTCCCTTACTCAATGCAAACCCATGTAAAAAAACCTATTGAACTACTAAGGAAAAGACATCTGAAAACCAAAAGCAAATCAACTACTACCCCTCAATACTTAGTCCATTCAAATGCTATAAGATTACACCCACTTACTCCTTCCCCTTCAGTTCCTTCATAAATGATTACTACACAAATCAAATCAACAACCCAAAATGCCTCGCAACAGAAGGTGCTCCCAGAACCAACCTCCACGTCTAATGAACCAACAACCACAACCTCCAACCCACTTGCCTTGGTCCCATGCACACTACCTCCACCACCATGCATGTTCCAGCTAGCTCCCATGCCGCTAGGGAACGACACCTTACTCATAAACCTATCTAATCTTTCCAAAATAAGTTTACTATTATTTTGGCAGTTAGGTTTGTTTGTCCATGTGTACCGTGACCCTACAAAACCTAAGTCTATCATATTCATAGCATTTATACAGTCACTAAAAGCAGACACTCTTTTATTTTTTATTGGATTGCCCCCTAGCTTTTCGAATGCGTTTGTTACTTCATTAAAGTAATTAACCATGGAAGATTTAAATATTTAGCCATTTCTTTTAGGTTAGTAAACAAAATATTCTTGAATCTTATGTTATTTTTTGCATATATAATAGCCATAATCCATGTAAGAGAGGAGGTACTTACGCGCACTGTGGCATGTATTTCCAGTTCTGTGAGGACCATTGGTTCGATTACGACCTCGTGGTTGTTCCACAGCAAGGCTATTCCTCCAGAGAAACCTGAAGCTGGCACTTGAATTAAATCAATGAATGGTAGTTGTTGCAGTAAAATATCATGATCAGTCATACGTGTTTCGGTAAGAACTAAAACAGATGGCATGCTTCCTTGTAGGATGGCGTCCAGATTATGCCGGAAGGTGGGATTGTTTCCACCTCTACAGTTCCACAGGAAAATCTTCATTGGTAGGGGATTTGTTAAATTCCCTCCTGGACCTAGGGTCAGATCCAAGTTCGTTGTAGTAGCTGGACATAGATTCACCACATATTGTTGTATTGGTGACCATGCACAAGACCTTATGTTGAGTGATACCTTGCGCATGTTTGGAGGTGTTTGAATCAGAATTCGTTCTCCTGCATTTTCGAGAAATGTTAGTGTTAAGCACTCCTCCGTCAGGAAGATTGGCGCCATCACCGGATCTTGAATGTTTTGAGGGTTTTCCACCAGTTCCGGAACCTGTGGGGGAGGGGAAGTTCCTGTTGTTGAGTGGAATGATTGAGTTGTTGCTTCCATCTCCGGCACTATCTGCTACATTTGCGCTGGTGTGATGGGTGTGTGTAGTGCATGTAGGACTTGATTGAGCGACAAGTCTGCAAGGTGCTTAGCGGGAATGAGTGCAAGTTGAAGTTTTGTGGTTGTGTGTTGGACGATTGCTTCAGCATGTTGCCCGGTATTAGCAATTCCTCCTCCTGGACTGTGTGATTATAGATTAGTGACTGGTATGCTTGAAGCATCTCCGAAGTATTCATGTTGTAAGGCTGGACTTCGGGAGGCAGAGTTGGCGTGAGGTAGATTAGGTTTTGGCCATTCCAGTTATTATTGATGATTCCGTTATTTGGTTTCCTTGCAATGGGTAGTAGTTGAGGGAGTGCAGTGGAGCTTGGTATGGTGTGATGGTGTTGTTCCCTAGCGGCATGGGAGCTAGCTGGAACATGCATGGTGGTGGAGGTAGAGTGCATGGGACCAAGGCAGGTGGGTTGCGTGTTGGAGGTTGTGGTTGTTGGTTCATTAGACGTGGAGGTTGGTTCTGGGAGCACCTTCTGTTGCGAGGCATTTTGGGTTGTTGTTTTGATTTGTGTAGTAATCGTTTCTGAAGGAACTGAAGGGGAAGGAGTAAGTGGGAGTAATCTTATAGCATTTGAATGGACTAAGTGTTGAGGGGTAGTAGTTGATTTGCTTTTGGTTTTCAGATGTCTTATTCTTAGTAGTTCAATAGGTTTTTTTACATGGGTTTGCATTGAATAAGGAAGATATTGTAGGGTAGGAATACTGTTTTTGGATTCATCAAGATTTGATAATGGTATATCTTTTGCGTTATCCTTTAATGCGCTAATGAGTGCTTTTACGGTTCCCTTAGGGGGAACGTCCGTGTTGTCTGTAGCAACTAGCATAGTTGGAGTAATTGATGAAGTTGTAAATGTTTGGTTTAGGTTTGAAGGGATGTTTGGTTGACGTGGGAAGATTGGTTTATGTGTACGGTTTAGGGCTTTGGTTGATGTTGACATACACGGTTGGAAGGTTTTGCTTGGAGAAGGAATTATAGGTGTAGGGGAGTTGGTAATTTTATTAGGTGATAGGGTAGTACTTTTGGATTGTGGAGATTTAGTATCCTGTTGGGGTGATTGAGTAGTACCAATGTTGATAGAGTTGTTATGTGTTTTGGGTATTTCCACATTTTTAGGAGGGGTGGGGTTGAGGGTATCTTTGAACGTGGGTAGTGTAGTAGCCATGTTTACTAATTTTGGCTTATTTGTTAAAATTGTCTCAGCATCAGAAGTATTTGCTAAATTTGAAAAGCTATTGCGGGTATGTGGTGAGGTAACGTTGGGTTTAAAGGGTGAGGTGGTTTAAAGGGTGAGGTGGTATTTTATTTTCTGTTATATTTTGGAAAGACTACGGTTGTCCAACGGCCTTCATGAGAGTCAGTGGTTTTCCCCTTATCTATTTTTTCTATTTCATTTTTTTGACTAGTATTTTTCTTTTTTTGAATTTTCTATTTTTTCTTCTTTTTTTCATTTTCCTTTTTTTTTCTTCCTTTCTTTCTTTTTTATTTTCAGTAGAGGCAGTAGACGTACCTGGGTCCATGTTGTCGGGTTTTGTGCAGTAGTAGAGTGTATGTCCCAAGCATCCACAACTCTGGCATAATGGTGTTGTTATCTCGTAATGTATTTTTTGGAGATGTTTGCCATTGAGTATATCCTTGGGTACTGGTTTTCCCAATTGAACCAATATGCATAGTCTTGCATATCTTCCCCTGCTTGTGTTCCTTGTGCAACTATCTATTTTTGGGATTGATCCACCTCACGCCAACTCTGCCTCCCGAAGTCCAGCCTTACAACATGAATACTTCGGAGATGCTTCAAGCATACCAGTCACTAGTCTACAATTACACAGTCCAAGAGGAGGAATTGCTTACACTAGGCAACATGCTGATGCAATCGTTCAACAACACACAACCACAGAACTTCAACTTGCACTCATTCCCACTAAGCAGCTTTGCAGACTTGTCCCTCAATCAAGTCCTACATGCACTACACACACCTATCACACCAGCGCAAATTGAGCAAATAGTGCCGGAGATGGAAGCAACAACTCAATCGTTCCACTCAATAACAGGAACTTCCCCTCCCCCACAGGTCCCGGTACTGGTGGAAAACCCTCAACACATTCAAGATCCGGTGATGGAGCCAATCTTCCTAACGAAGGAGTGCTTAACACTAACATTTCTCGAAAATGCAAAAGAACGAATTCTCATTAGAACACCTCCAAACATGCGCAAGGTACCACTCAACATAAGATCTTGTGCATAGTCACCAATACAACAATATGTGGTGAACCTATGTCCAGCTACTGCAACGAACTTGGATCTGACCCTAGGTCTAGGAGGGAACTTAACAAATCCCCTACCAATGAAGATTCTCCTATGGAACTGTAGAGGTGGAAACAATCCCACCTTCAGGCGTAATCTGGACGCCATCCTACAAGGAAACATGCCATCTGTTTTAGCTCTTACTGAAAAACGTATGACTGATCATGATATTTTATTGCAACAACTTCCATTCACTGATTAATCCAAGTGCCAGCTTCAGGTTTCTCTGAAGGAATAGCCTTGCTGTGGAACAACCACGAGGTCGTAATCGAACCAATGGTCCTCTCAGAACAGGAAATACATGCCACAGTGTGGGTAAGTACCTCCTCTCCTACATGGATTATGTCTATTATATATGCAAAAAATAACATAAGATTCAAGAATATTTTTATTTACTAACCTAAAGGAAATGACTAATATTATAAATCTTCCATAGTTAATTTGTGGAGACTTTAATGAAGTAACAAACGCATCTGAAAAGCTAGTGGGCAATCCAATCAAAAACAAAAGAGTATCTGCTTTTATTGACTGTATAAATGCTATGAATATGATAGACCTAGGTTTTGTAGGGTCACGGTACACATGGACAAACAAACCTAACTTCAAAATAATAGTAAACTTATTTTGGAATGATTAGATAGATTTATGAGTACCCTGAATGGTTAGACCTATACCCTGACTTCAAAGTAATCCACCTATCTCGTACCTACTCGGATCATTGCTCTCTATTTCTTAACCTTACTAGATAGACTTCCAAACCTAAAAGTACCTTCAGATTTGAAACTATGTGCCCGCGTCATCCAGATTTTAAACATTTAGTCTCTTCATGCTGGCACTCAAATCTAGACTACAACAACGCAGTAACTACTTTCAAAAAAAATCGCACAACAATGGAACTCTACTTGCTTCGGTAATATTTTTACTAAAAAAAACAAGCTAGTAGCTAGAATTGAAGGTCTTCAGAAGATAGATCCAAATCACAAACACGTGTTCCACCACAACCTGGAAACAAAGCTTATTTTTTACTACAATAATATTCTTCGTCAAGAGGAAGATTTTTGGAAGCTAAAATCTAGAGTTCAAATGGCTGAATGAAGGTGATGCCAATACAAAGTTTTTCCACACAACTACAGTCCATAGACGACGCAAAAACAGGATTCTTGGCCTAACTGACATTGTTGGTAACTGGAGTTTGGACCAAGATGTAATTTCTACTATCATAAATCATTTTAAGGAAATGTACTCTACTGAACTAACCTCTAGCGTTAAAAGAATTCATTCCCAGAAATATTAACTCCCTAACATATGAAGATCAATTGAACCTCATAAGACCCCTATCAGCATTCGAGATTCAACGCGCTATCAAATCCTTTAAACCTCTTAAAGCACCGGGACCCGATGGCCTCAATCCTCTATTTCTCCAACAATTCTGGGAAGACACTAACTGTGCTGTTAGCAAAACTTGCATGGACGCATTCTCCTCATTCTACATTCCTCCTGAAATTAATTCTACTTACATCACCCTCATCCCTAAAGTTAACAACCCAGAAATGATCACTCAACATAGACCCATCAATCTCTGCAATACGATTTACAAAACAATCACAAAAATTATAGTCAACAGCATCAGACCACTACTAGATAAAATTATTAGTCCAAACCAATGTAGCTTCATCTCAAGACGCAAGGCTACTGATAACAGTATTATTGTCCAGGAATCCATTCATACGTCCAACAAAGCTAAGGGTAGAGCAGGTCATATGATGCTGAAAGTTGATCTTGAAAAAGCTTTCGACCGTCTAGAATGGTCCTTTATTAGATATTCTTTAGCTAGTCTAAATTTTCCTCCTAAACTAATTACCCTTATAATGTCTTGCGTCACAACCTCGTCCATATCCATCTTAATAAATGGCAAACCATCCAACTCATTCAACCCAAGTAGAGAAATTAGGCAAGGCGACCCTTTATCCCCTTCTCTATTCATTATTTGCATAGAATCTTTGACACGTTTAATAAATCAAGCTATTACCCAAAAGCTTTGGGACCCATACGAATTGGTAGGGTGTCAACAGAGATATCGCATCTACTATTTGCAGATGATTTAGTACTTTTTGCAAGAGCTGACACTAAAAATACTTCTACGATTATTAATATTTTCAACTGCTTCGGGTCAAAAAGTTAATTTTTCAAAATTAAAAGTTTTCTTCTCCAAAAATGTGCCCCTAAATGCCCAAAAAAATATAGCAAACTCACTCAACATGACCCCCTCGTCAAAGTTTGGTAACTACTTAGGTCTACCCATCGCTAATCACCAACCAAAAAGCACTGACTACCAATACATTATCGATCATATGAATAACCGTCTACCAGGATGGAAGGCAAAACAACTATCCCTTGCAGGGCATACTACACTCATAAAAACAGTTTTAGCAACAATCCCTAGTTACGCAATGCAAATAAACTTATTACCAAAAAATTGTATAGAAAAAATTGACCGTATTCAATGCAACTTCCTTTGGGGTTCCACTGCAAACAAGAGAAGAATCCATCTAGCAAATTGGGAAACTGTGACACTTCCCAAGTCTATGGGTGGATAGGGAATCCCTAAAACTAATGGAAAAAATTCAGCTCTACTCTCTAGCCTGACTTGGCGTTTTATTTTAAATCCATGCCAACTTTGGGTTAGAGTTTTAAAAGGAAAATATCAATCACGCTATCCGCAAAATGATTTTAAAATGAAACCATCTGACTCCTACATCTGGAAAAGTATTATCAAAAATATTTCGACATTCCATAAAGGAACCGCTTGGAATATTGAACGGCTCCAGTATTAAACTCTGGGAAGATAACTGGGTTGGGTCAAATGACTCCCTAAGGTCTCTTATACATGGTCCCCTCATAGAATTAAATATAACAAAAACTGTCCAAAGTATCCTTCCCAATAATAAGTGGGATCTTTCGGAACTTCCCATGGACGTTACCATGAATATTATACACCAAATTAATAATACTTACATTCAAGATTCAGAACCCAAAAATGACTCCTTCTTTTGGAAAAATGCAACCTTAGGTTTATTCTCTACAAAATCAGCCTACCATATGTACTTACAAGACTCTAATAATTCTCACCTCCCTTTCTCCCCCTCCCATGAATGTGTGTGGAAAACCCATACTTCGAATAAAATAATGTTCTTCTTGTGGCTACTTTTTAATAACAAATTACCCACAGCGGAAAACTTATTTAATCGAAAACATTATACGATTAAACACTTGTGCTTCATGCCCAAACACTACTGAAACAATTGACCACTTATTCATAACATGCCCTAAACCAAAAGCCTTATGGGATCAATTCAACATACATATCCCCCAAAACCAATTGGAACCTACAATCCTCTCTCTTTGTACAACACCAACTCAATGGACTGTAATAATAAAAAGGCCCCACTACCCATCTTAACTCCTATTATTCTTTGGGCTATCTGGAAAAATAGGAATCAAATCCTTTTACGGACCTCTATTGCTCCAATAACACATAGACATAACTTTCCAAGCTATGGAGTACCTCCACTTTGTCCATAATCACCCCACAAAAAACTCTTATCAAAAGAAATCAATTCGATGGCAACCTCCTCCAAATGGATTCTCCAAGCTAAATATAGACGGTGCTTACGATTAAAATAGTAAAGCAGGAGGGGGTGGTGGACTTATTCGAAACCACAATGGTGACTGTATCATTGGCTATGCAAATTACAACTAAACATACTCTGCCATTCATATGGAAATACTGGCCTTTTACAATGGTTTAAGGCTGGCACTTAGTCACAACTTAGTTCCACTTATTGTGAAAACTGATTCACGGGTATTGATTCAACTATTATCGTCTAATAATCTAGCTTTCTCACACATGTTAATAGATTGCAGGCAACTAATGGAGAAGCTGGGCAGCCCACAGGTGTGCCACATCTTTAGGGAAGCTAATGTTGCAGCATATAAACCGGCCTGCTATGGGAAAGGCAGAGATCCAGCCATGGGAAAAAACGTTTTGGTTTTTGTATACCCACCCCTTTATCCTTAATGAACTAAAGGAAGACCTCTATGGAACTGGAACTATACGTTCAGTTACCATAATGTAATAACTTCCGTTTGTGCTATTTAATAAAAGCCTCTTTCATTAGAAAAAAAAAAAAAGAAGCTGAGGTTTGACCCTGACTGAAACTCAGATACATATCTAGCCTGACACAAACCTGAATTTCTCAGAAGCCATAAACTAAAATAAATATAGAGGCTGAATTTTCATAAGTGCCAACAGAAACGACAATTTCTAAATCACGATGAAGTATTTAAGCAATCGGTTGATAAACTTTGTTATCCTTTTGTAACCGAGCAATATACAACCACAAAATAGGGAAATAATAGAAACTTGAATAGGAAAAGAGACTGACCAGAAGATTAATCCCTCGCAGCCAAATCCGAGCAAAACACTTCAGAGGGGTTGATTGTATTTGGAGGAGTAAATTCTGTTCGCGCAAAAGAGGTAGAGGTGCGCGTTTTTCTTTTTGGGGAAAAGTTGAATGAATTAGCTTATTTTGAAAACGTTCTTCTTCTTTTTTTCTTTTAGCTAATGAAACGTTACTATAAAATATCTTTCCGAAAAAGGTTTACATAATATCTGTGGACTGTGGCGATAGGCACAATTTCTAGTACTGTAATTTGAAACCTTATAAATCAAAATAAAAGACCATGATTATGTAGAATTAGTAGCTGAAAAAAAATATAAAATGGCCAAATATATCCCTGAACTATCAGAAAAGGTTTAAATGTACCCCTCGTTATACTTTGAGTCCAAATATACCCTTTCGTTGTACTATTAGTTCAAATATACTCTTTTCTATTAAGTTTGTCCAAAGTGGATATCCAATCTTATGTGGCACTGACTTTTGATGAGGTGGATGTCACATGCATGGGCAAAGCTACATTATCATAAGGGTGGTCAATTGACCGCCCTTCATCGAAAAATTACATTGCATATATAAGTAAATTATTAGATTTTAGAGGTATATGACATATATTGAACACCCTTTGTCGGATTTTGTTACTTCTTTCAAGTTTGAACACCCTTGGATAAATTTCTGGCTTCGCCACTGGCCACATGGCTTGCCACCTCAGCGCCCCTAACTCATTTTACCCCTCCTTCTCTTATTTTTTCCACCACTAAAATTTTCTTCCTCTCCACCACTATTGCCACCATTACCACTACCATAAAAAAATATGATATTTCAAATTTTAGTCTTTTATATATGGATTAGGAGGGCTGAGGTGGCATGCCATGTGGCATCTACCTCATCAAATATCAGTGTCACGTATGATTGGATGTCCACCTTGGACAAACTTAACGAAAAATGGATAAATTTGAATCAATAATATTACGGCAAGGATATATTTGGACCCAAAGTATAACGAAAGATATATTTAAACATTTTCTCATAGTACAGGGGCCCTAAGTTTTTCGGTATCAAAAACTCATTTAATAAAATTTTATTTAAAGTTTATTTTTCTAGCTTTTTGAAGTGTAAAATTATTAATAATTTATTTATAATCGATTTCTTGACTAGGATTATATATGTTTCTACTTTCTAGGATTATTCAATTCTTTTAGGATTTTCTGATTTTCTAAAAGATATGACTCACCAACTTCTTCTTCTTCTCTTCTTCTTGGATTCTATTATCGTTTAGCTCAATTATACTAGTGATTTGTTCATCTACCATAAATTCTTCCCTATTTTTTTATTTAAATTTTTTATTGTTTCTAAAAATTTATCAAAGGTTCTTTTTGGAATTGTATTAAAGTTTCAATTATTCTCTTCTGTTTTTTTGTTGGTATTTTTAATATACAGATTCATATTTTCTTGTTGATATATTAAAATTCTAATAAATAAAATAGAAAGATCATGCATATACTTACAAACAAACGATATAAAAAAATAACAAAGTTTAGATACAAAGTAACTAGAAAATTACAAAATAATTTTCTTGTAGCTAACTTGGATAAATCTGACATCTTCATTGCAGGTGTAGATGAAGAGACTAGGAACAAACTGATTGCAGGAACTGGCTTTGCAACAGGAGTGTTTCCAATGAGATACTTGGGGCTCCCACTCTCTCCAAAGAAATAGAATAAACTGGACTGTATGCAGCTAATCAATAAAATCACTGCTAAAATCAAATCTGCCTCTGCTAGGCATCTATCATATGCTGGACGGATGCAAGTCATCAACTCAGTATTATTCTCCCTCCACAACTTTTGGGGATCATTATTTATTCTGCCACAGAGTATAATCAAGCAGGTTGACAAACAATGTAGAGAATACTTGTGGGGCAGTACAAATGTCAAGAAGAAAGTTTCTCTAGTGGCTGGGTTAAGTGGGTACATGGGGTCTATATGAAGAATGATACTGATATATAGGAATACAATCCACCTACTGACTATAATTGGTATTGGAAAAGGTTGCATAAAGTCAAGCAAGGAATGGCACATTGGTATACAAATGGGAAATATTCTTTTTCAGGTAATGGACAATACTTTGTCGCACTTAGCTACCTGGCTCTGCTGCGTGTAAGACCAATAGTGGAAGGATCAGAGTTAATATGGAGCAGAGTATTGATGCCAAAGCATAGTTTTATGTTGTGGTTAGCAGAACAACGGAAAATGCTTACCAATGTGTAACGACCCGATCGGTTGTTTTGAGCTCTAGCGCGTCGTTCAACAGTTTGAGGCCATGAGCAGCTTCATTTCAGGTATTATGACTTGAACGCATGGTCGGAATTGAATTTCGGGAAGTTCGGAGTTGATTTGGAAAGAGAATTCTCATTTCGGAAGCTTTAAGTTGAAAGAATTGACTAAGATTGGATTTTTGAGTAAACGACCTCGGAATCGGGAAGGTTCCAGCAGGTTTATATGATGATTTCGGACTTGGGCGTATGTCTGGGTCGGGTTTCAGAAGACCCGGGAGCGTCTCGGCACCTATTGTGGAAGTTAGCATTTTTGGAGGAATTTCATAAGTTTGGGATGAAGTGCATTTCAGTGTTATCAATGTCTGTTTGGGATTCCGAGTCTGGGAATAGCTCCGTATAATGATTCTGGTGTTGGGAGCGTGATCGGAAGTGAAATTGGAGGTTCGTGGGCCATTTTGGAGCCATTTGGCTAAAGATAGAAATTTAAAGGTTTTTGAGAAGTTTGACCGGGAGTGGACTTTTTGATATCGGGGTCGAATTTCGATCCCGGAAGTTGGAGTAGGTCTGTAATGTCGAATATGACTTGTGTGCAAAATTTGAGGCCAATCGGACGTGATTTGATAGGCTTCGGCGCCGAATGTAGAAGTTTGGAATTCTAAAGTTCATTAAGCTTGGATTGGAAGTCGATTCATGATTTTAGCGTTGTTTGATATGATTTGAGGCCTCGAGCAAGTCCGTAATGTGTTTTAGGACTGGTTGGTGTGAACGGACAGGGTCCCGGGGGCCCCAGGTGGATTCCGGGTGGTTAACGGATCAATTTTGGAATTCGGAAGAAGAGTTGAAGTTGCTGCCTGCTGGTGTAACCGCACCTGCGAGTAGGGGTGTATATGGACCGGGTTGGTTCGGTTTCTATCAAAACCAAACCAAACCAATTATATCGGTTTGGATTGGTTCGGTTTTGTCGGGTTTTTCGGGTTTTCGGGTTTTTTTGTTACAAGAATATTATTTCAATCTTACGTTATTAAAATTATAGATAAAGCTTTGATAAGTGAATATATGTTTAGTAAATATGGAAAAAATTGACAAACATATGATCTATTAAAATATTCTAATGGGAGAAATTTTTTAGTAACACATGATAGTTATTTTCTTAGTCGTCTAACAATAATTTTTCGTTAATTTGCGCTTTCAAGGTTATTACATGAGAGGATTCCAAATATTTCTACATTTTCTAAAGAAAAATCACTACAAAGTCTTAAAAATATAAATAAAATTTATATATTTATATGTCGGTTTGGTTCGGGTTTTTTTACTCAATACCAAACCAAGTCAAACCAAACCTAGTCGGGTTTTTTGATCGGTTTGGTTTGGTTTTTCGATTTGGTGCGATTTTCCGGTTCGGTTTGAACACCCCTACCTGCGAGACATGGGCCGCAGAAGCGGCCCTTGTGTCGCAAAAGCGGAAATGGGCTGGCTGGACAGGGACCGCAGATGCGGTCATTTTTGCCGCAGATGCGGGACAGCACCTGCGGAAGGAGAGGCGCAGGTGCGGGAATGCTGGAGGCAGAAAGGTTATTTAAATCGGGGGTTGGGTTCATTTCAACCCCATTTCTTCCATTGGAGCCGAATTTTGGAGCAACCTTGAGGTGCCATTTTCACCACCAAGCATGAGGTAAGTAATTTATGCTAGTTTTGAGTTAAATACTTGGATTATATATGGATTAGAGCATGAAAATTAGCGAAAATTATGGGTTTTTGGTGGAAGACCTAGAAAATTATATTTTGGATTTTCACCATGATTTTGGATATGAAATTGAGAGTAAATTATATATTTGAGTTCGTGAGGTCATGGGTAAACTTTATCTTCGAAAAATTTCGGAATCCGGGCACGTGGACCCGAGGGCATTTTTGTCAACTTTTCAATCGGGGTTAGAAATTGTTATAAATTGGGTTATTATGAGTAATTGAACATATATTAATGAATTTGCACAATTATTGGCTAGTTTTGGAGCGTTGTGCATCAATTTAAGTCTTCGGAAGGGCATGGAATGCCGGTTATGGAACTTCGGAGCGAGGTGAGTCTCCTTTCAAACCTTGTAAGAGTGAATTGTCCCCATTACTATGACATCAATAACCCATCCTGAGTCTGAGCTCACTCTCCGGCTGCACGAGTCCATTCACCCCTCGTGGACATCCATTAATTGTGCGACAACATCCCTTCACTTCAAAGTAATGCTACGTCTTTCTTCACTTTATGCAGCTCCTTTCTGCCATATCCAATCTCCTGCCGTATAACAACACCATGCTTCAAATTAATCTACCGACTTCCATTGCCTGTCGCTAAAATCCCAGATCCTTCCAAACTATCCTTAGGTGCGTAGTCATCCTACTACTAGGCCTTATACAGCCCCGCCACTCTCCCACTTCGGGCAAACTCTCTCCTTTAACCACTGTTCGGCCTGCGCTCCCTAAGCCTGGCCTTTTAGAACGTTTTNAACCTTATTGATAGTTTAAATTGCTTAATTCATATCGAAGTGGCAAATGATTTTCTAAAAGAGTAAAACTTCATTTTTATGGCTTGTAAAAAGGGAAATTTACACCTCCTTAAATAATTGTCTCCTCGATGAAAGATTGTTTGAGTATGTGTTTCTATGTGTACCTGCGTCGCATGTATGATTCGCGAGCAGG